TAGATTTTGCGCTAACACCTCAATTTCGCGAAATTTTTTATTTTATTAAAACTACAAAAACAAATTAATCGCCCCGACTGCGCCAGTCTAGGGTGGAACAGCCATGTTAAACAATGTTACACATGCACTGATGGGACATGTTAAAAAACAAGCAGCCTGTCGGCCGAGATAGCTCTCACTATTAACAATGCACATTTCAATTAAAGAATTATTATTAGAAAATCTGAGGAAGGTCTACTGAGGTACCTTTATGTATAACATGAAAGCAATTGAACTTGCACTTTTCAACAAGAAGTCACCAAAAATACCACCAAATTTAGCAAATGTAACAAATGTAAGAGAGGTCAAATATCAAAGCAATCAGACTCGTACTTTTCAAGAAGAAGTCAGAAAATTATTACTTAAAAGGTTGATGCAAATGATGGACAATCACTCATATGATAATCTATTTTACGCATTAGTTTCGCTATTTTCTGGTTGGTCTATTCATAAAAAACTGACTTTTAAATATGTGCGTGCCCAAAATATGATGGTAGGACACTGATAAAACCATGAAATAAATTCATATTGGGTCGTAATCTTTGCAAATAATAAGCAAATTAGGTAATTAATATGCATGGATTTTTAACCCAAAACTAATCAGTCTGTGAAAAGTCATGGAGAATAAATGTACCAAGTTGAAATGTTAAGATTAGTACTTAAAACATCGGCAGAAAAGCTAAAAATTTACTAATTATAGAAGTTAGGTAATTAATAGTCATAGAGCATCTATTTACCAAGATTCATTGAAATGTAATGATTAGTACTTGAAATATCAGCTGCAAAAGCTAAAAGATTTACTAATTATGCAAGTTATGTAATTAATATGCATGGATATTAACACAAAACTTACCAGACCTCTGCATTGTCTTATGACATCAACTTTCATTGTATTGTGATGATTAGTACATAAGATATCAGTAGAAAAGTTGAAAATTAACAAATCTTTCTGCAAATTAGGTAATTAATATGCATAGGGATTTCTACCCAAAACTAACGAGGTCTGCAAATTGTCCCAGAGCATATATGTACTAAGTTTCATCAAAATCCAATGAGTAGTTCTTTGGATATCAGTGAAACAGTCCTGGCACAGCTAAAAATCAGCTAATTATCATGCAAATTAGGTACTTAATAAGCATGGGTATTACCCGAAACCTAATCAAATCTGCGTATTAGCCCAGAGCATCTATGCATCAAGTTTCATCAAAAACCAACATATGGTTCTTGAGATATCAGTGGAACAGACGGACACACTCGCACACAAACATACTGGCGAACTGCTAAAATTCTCATTGTGTGCTTCGCACCCAGGAGTCAAAAACTTCATCTCTGTAAAACAACCATTTATGAACATGAATACATTACAGGATTGTTCACTAAAGTAAATAAACCAAAGTGATCAAGGAACAGGGCAGAACAATTGCATTTTTTTTTCTTTCTACTTGCCATGATTATGTACACCAAACAGAATTAGACTAGAATTTCTATAATCCTGAGTGATTGTCAAGTTGAAATTTAGTGGAAGTGTTCAATGCAGATAGATTCTGCCTGCAACAGTTACGGTAACTTTCTTCTGTGCTGGTACCATAAAATCTATATTAGAAGCTGCATCCCTAAAAGAAGTCGCACCCATTCTATTTGAATAATTGAGAACCAAAAATTCATCATTTTTCATATGTGTAGATGCTCTAATAGAAGCCGCATCTTCTCTGTTGCATTGTACCATTTTAATAGAAGCTGCTGCTTCTAAAACAGAGTTTATAGTAATTACCTATAATTGGAAAAAGCTGAGATGAAACTGCATTATCCTTACTCAGGACTAAGCTACAGGCATCTGAAGGAATTATTACTGGGTACTTGTAATATGCTCATTAGGCAAAAAAAAAAAGAAGCTTATGTTGCCCTCAACTCGGAAAATTGAAAAATTGAGTCGGTCGGTTAAATTTTTTTTTTTTTTTTAACTTGTGATAACTAAGGGTATCGTAAATAGCGGAGGTATATAGGAATCAATCAAACGCATGCTAGATATTAAACACAAAAATAAAAGTGTTTCTTTCAGTCTTTTGTATTTAAATACAGATCAACCCAAGGTTCAAAGTCGCCACTTATCACCCCCGGGAACCCTGGGGATCAAACAACGGTCCAGGATCGTTAATTTTTAGAGGTAACACTTTTTTACTGTTTTTAATATTTGGGTCTATTAACAAAAAAAAAAAAAAAAAAACGCAACCTGATATTTCATATTTTTCGGTCGGTCGCTGAGGGCAACAAAACAATTTTTTTTTTTGGCCTTATGGGGCAGTTGAATAGTTGAAATTTAACTGTTATCAAAGTAGTTAATATTTGCCATTGATAATGTGATATTTATCAATACATTACCATTCCAGCTATATAAAGAATAATATGTTCTTGTGATCTTGATTTTCGCTGAATAAACATTTTGGGTGTTTTGTGTGGAATTTATTTTCACCGATTTTTGATGAGTTGAATGTGAAATATAGGGAAAAAGGTATGTTTACTAGATTTTATTATAACTGAATCATTCCTTCAGCGAAAATTGTGTAAATTAACTTAAGCGAAAATAATGAATTCTACAGTAATGCGAAGACTGTTGTAATCAATAAACCAAAACTAGGGATTATCAGTCATATGATTTAACACTGTAGAAGTGATGATGGAATAATGCATGGAGGTAAAAAGAGAAGGAGTCACAGCCAAAATAATCCTCCTAAACTTCTTTTGTTTTAGACAAGTTCAATCCCATAATTCCCTTTGTCTTATCCTCCTTTCACCCCAGGATCGTCGCCGACGCGTGATTTACTCTCTGTTGCTGCGCACAGTCCACATTCCAAGGTCTTGTTTTACGGTGTCGCCGTAAATGTCAAAGGACATAAAGCATGCGCATATCTTCTATACGTAAAGTAAACGTGTTTGTGAGAACGGGAAAGTTGGAATTTTGAAAATCGGAGAACTTCTTGTTAAGTTTATGTAATTTTTCGTTTTTCAGCACATTTTCCGTTGTATTTTTGAATCAGCAATATTGTAATGTTTCGAAACCAAAATAAAGTTCGTTTAATGATCTTTGCAATGGTGCGAGGCATAGACCGCACCGCGTTGTACCAGAGACTAAATTTTGAGGTTCGAAATGACACTTTTTGAAGTTTATATCCCGTGTTTGTCCTACTTCCTATGGCAGTGCGTCAATATTCTTTATACACCATGTACAAGAAATTTGTTGCATTTTTTGTTTTCGAGCAATCGTTTCGATCACAGCATATGCAAAACAATTCTTCGTCTGTAATATGCTATTCAATTTCGTTTACGTCTTCTGAATTGAAGAATATAGCAGTTTCAGCATCGTAGTCAAACTCGTGCGCCTATCGATCGTCGGCATATTTGTTTATAAGAATTTGACTAGAATTGTCACAAAAATCGCTGAGTGCTGCCGAAGGCGTCCGTAGTATGCTAATACATGGTAATCCTCACTGCGCTAAGAGGAAACTGTGCTCCTTGGTCCGTTCGGCAAATAAACTCCCTGATCTATGTACAAACAGTGGCGACCATCCTGGTACCTTTGATCTAAGCTTGGCTGTGACTCCTTCTCTTTTTACCTCCATTCTCTAAGACAAGCCTACGTCACAAACTGGTCAAAATCCCCCAAACATTACCAGCAACCAATCACAGACTAGCTTAAACAATCGCTTTCCCTGACGATAATACTTAGCAACGTTATTTCCCCCACGCTAACTTGAAAAATCTTTTGTTTTTGTCTCGTTTCCGTTTCTGGTCTGTCTTAGAGAATGAATAATGTAAACCACAGTCCCTCTATCCGGGACTGTGTGTAAACCTTTTTAATTTTGAAATAAAAAAAATATTGCATTATTCAGAAAAAAAAATCATTAGATTTTTGAAAAGTCACATCCTAAAACTGTTAAATCAAGAATATTTATGAGACTGGCATTTTTAAATATAATGCACAATTGTGAGATTTGTGATAAAACTTCTTTTTTACCACCTCATTTTGAAGCAAAGTTCACCAATTTAATGAGCAGGTGTGGCAAGGGGCCTGGTCATGGGTGTGACAATGGCATTGTCCAATCAGATTACAGCTATGCCCTTTTGTGTAAAATGTAATATGATCGTGAAAAACAATGTGTCCGCCTGGCACTGCGTATTTGTTTACCGGTTTTGGCTGAATCGCATGAACACAAAACTCTTCTTTGAAAAATCAGTTTCAAACATTACAGTAACAACAATTACTGAGACAAGTACCTAAAACCAGGTCCCTGACTTAAAAGGTTTTCAAAGGTCGGTGACATCCACCGGGTTTTATCGGGACTGTCGACGATCGCATACTACCGGTAGTACATGGATCACGAGACCCAACACACCCTCTCAAACCACGCCGCTAAGTCCAGCGCTAAATATATACATGGCATTACCGACGTTAATTAAATAATAACAAAATATCACCAGATAAATCAGTCTAGTATCACAAGTAGTCTGTGTGGTCTTACACGTATACATGTTTGCATTGCAGTAAATATATAAAAAATCGTCCAATTGATATACAAGCTGTCAAAAAAATATGCAAATATGACATTCAAGATGAGAAAGTCGCGCACTGTGAATGTGCTGGTCACGGTTCCCTGCAAACTGCACACTTCATGACCCCAAATGCGAATAACAACAATTTTTAATCACAAATTTGACATCGTCAGACAACATGTAGCGAGTATTTACACATGTTAGTACAACCAGTCTGGTAGCCCGAGAGACAAATGACGCTAACACGATTCAATTAGCGGCCACAGTAACCTCAACTACAGTCCCGGACCCTAGAGCGACCGGGACTCAATATACCAATTTGGATTTGACACACAAGTGACAGGAGATCAAATCCAAACTATCCAGTGGAAATATGAAGCACATTATTGAAAATGACATATGGAATGATGTACCTCGTCGCCAAAGTCATCTAACTTGCGCTTCTTTGCTGCGAAAACCGAGTCCATCTTGTTCGCAATTCTCTGCTCAAATTTGTGAAAACCGCACGGGTCACGCGATGTTTATGTTTACGACCTCCTAAAAGGTGTAAGGCACGTTGATGGCGCTCACAATAATAGCAAGGTTTGCATATTCATCGCCGGGGGATGAAGGATGGCGTCAGGGAGAGTTTGTATTGTGTTGTAGAGTTGGAATTGATTGGCTGAAAAACTTGTATTTTGTGCCACCGCACTGTACCGGTGACTGTTACACTATGCTGATGTTCTTTTGTTTGTATGACCTTTATTACCTTTACGCCCATGCTCTGTGTTGTTGTTGTTGCTTTTTTCTCCAAGATGTTGGCTAAATAAATGTTGCGTCTGCAACGCATCCAGACCACGACTTCTTCGTGACTACTTTTATGAACAAACCCGCATCGAAACAGTGACAAGGTCGACAAGGTGCTCACTGACCGACATGGATCATCGAATATATGATTTATATGACTGTGTTTGTACAAACTCCACAACATAGACTGGCGCAGTCGGGGCGATTAATTTGTTTTGTAATAAAAAAAATCGCCAAATGGAGGTGTTAGCGCGAAATCATCCCGACTGGTTTATTCTGTAGGAAATTCATTGCTATTAAATATTCATGAGCACATATTATAATGAAGTGGGCGCGAAATACGTGCATAATGAGGTCAACATGGTACATGTCACACTGCAGACCCAACTTGGCGGCACGTTGAAATTCGAGTTTGTCGTAGTCGTCGTTTCTTATTTTCTCACAATGTAGAAATGTAACTCGTACTGTAGTAGAATTGAAAAAAAAATCGGCTGCTACAATCAGCCGACGTCTTCTCGGTCAGAGGTCAGTTGAAGAGACGTTGTGATTGGCTTAGATGATTGTCAGTTAGAACACTCATTAACATAATTACCCGTTGAAAAATCGACGGGTTCCTGCAGTGTCGATAGAGAGCCATGCAGTATAAACCAGTCAAGGTGATTTCGCAGTCACAGGGATTTCGCGATTTTTTTTAATTTTATTTAAACTACAAAAACAAATTAATCGCCCCGACTGCGCCAGTCTATCCACAACACTACGCTCCATGGCATTTGCTTACAATCGAAATAATCGTCTCGGCCCCTACTATATGTTATTTTTCGCCGGGTTTCTATCCTACACATGGTTCCAATACAAAATGTGTGCAGACGATATATAATTATAAATCACCTGTGAGAGAGCGCCACCCACCAGTCAAGGTGATTTCGCAGTCACAGGGATTTCGCGATTTTTTTTAATTTTATTTAAACTACAAAAACAAATTAATCGCCCCGACTGCGCCAGTCTATCCACAACACTACGCTCCATGGCATTTGCTTACAATCGAAATAATCGTCTCGGCCCCTACTATATGTTATTTTTCGCCGGGTTTCTATCCTACACATGGTTCCAATACAAAATGTGTGCAGACGATATATAATTATAAATCACCTGTGAGAGAGCGCCACCCACCAAACAGATAGAATCTTGTGTTTATAAAATCTGTATTTGGATGCGTGATAATATGCCCGCCCCCAGCGATGGGAAAACAGAAATAATTCATTGAATTTTTAATGGAAAAATTAGCAATATACTATACTAGACCGGAATTATACAGAAAAGCTGATACACGCTTTCTACGGTCTTCCCGAGTTTGAATTAAAAACGAAGTAAACTCATCCAAATTCCGTTGCGCATCACATTACAAATAGAAAAGGAAATTACATCACACCAATTTTAAAGGGTGGCAGTCGTCGCGCCACACATGCGCAGTGCGACGACCACCGCCCTTTAAAATAGTAGCACTGACTGTGTTGACACCAACCACTAAGCAGCCGGGAAGTCGACAGCATTACGACCTTACTGTAGACTTGCATACACTCTCTTGTTTATTTTTTTTGGCGTTTTTTCACTAAAATTAAATAACAATGGAATGAATAAACGGTGAATGCCGGTTTTCGCCATTTATACACTCCTATATTTTATTTTATTGAAAAAAAACACCAAAAAAATAAAAAAATAAACAAGAGTCTGTATGCAAGTCTAAATTAACTGATCATGATTAGACTGTAACATAATCCTCTTAACAACGCACTGAAACTTTCAAGCTAACTGCAAGGCATGCTGGGAAATTATAATGTCTTTGCTGTCACTCATTTCAATATCTATTTTTTTCTTCAAGAATGCATTTTTCTTCGACCAAACTCCTATGCGGCTCCAAAACACAGTAAAATGAATATATATCAAGCACAACGATACTTTTCAACCTTTCTGACAATATATTACTTTGATGTAATAGAAATGTAATATCTCAATATGAATTTGTGGTTTGTTTATGAGGTTATAATACATTAGTTCTCAGTCCATGTTGAGAATGCGTTTCCATCACGTGATGTACACAATGTATACAAATAAATAAATAAAAACAAACGCTTCCGTCACAGCACACCCCACAGTTTAAAGTATAAATATGTTAATTTATTCAATGATGCAAATGAGATGTTGGCGATGCTGGCAAAGACGAAGTCGTAATATCAATTTAGAATCAAACGTGGTGAAAGTTGATGGTCATTTGTTGTGAACTGTTTTCTGTTACACTGGTGTGAATGACCCTTGGCGCGTGTAACTGGTCGTTAAGGGGGTTCAGACTGAATTACAGATATTCATGTTCGACAAACCATAGAAGTTAGTCCAACTAGTCGAACTTTCATAGTATGGGTTAAGATCATCAGAATATTGAAAATGAACGACATTGGACCACCGGGATTTTTTTCGAAAAACATGAATAGTTCGATTGAGAATGCGTTTTCACTTGTTTCTATGATGGAATTATTCCTTCATATCTCAACCTTTTGCTCAATGACTTATAATGAATATATTATTGCTACCTTGAAACCTAAAACATTTCCAAAAAATGGCAATTAATATATCAAGTTTTGAGTATGACAATAGTTCTTCATTATAGTCCCTACTACTTTATAATCTGTACTAGAAACCGTGGCTTCTATTAAAATGCTACAATGCAACTTGAATAGAGGGGATGCGGTTTCTATTAGAGCATTTACACATTTGAGAAATGATGAATTTTTGGTTCTCAATTATTCCAAAAGAATGGGCGCGACTTCTATTAGGAATGCGGCTTCTGATACAGATTTTACGGTACCTTCCATTATTACTGTATACACACAGAAAGGTGTGCCCCTTTTTGCATATATGCACAGTAACACACTAACTAGTGCAAAATGTGAATTCGGCTCGAACTGCTTCAAACAGTATGACTTCCCGTTATATGTGTCAAGCAAAGTGTTATGGTCGAACAAGCATTGATTCTTTTGCAAATTCTGTCAGCCCATTAATTACAGTAAGCAAATATATTCTGACAAAACGGAGTGCTATATTTAGCCATTTTCTGTCAAGTGTTTACGCAATTATGATTTAATAGCTTGATAAAGTTTGAAAAGGCTGTCATTTTCCGGTCATAAAACCTGGCTTGCCTAGACTTGCACATCGTCTCTTGTTTGTTTGTTTGTTGGTGTACATGTATTTTCAATAAAATAATACGTGAGTGTACAAAAGGTGAAAACCGGGCTTTCCGCCATTTTTACTCACTCACCCACGCATATTATTTTATTGAAAAATAAAACGCCCAAATCACAATAATGCGATTCTGACTGACTGACAAAATCATTGTTTCTCTTACATAGTCTTGCTCACAGTTTCTTGTTTTTGTTCGGAGCGTATAAATTGCGAAAGCCGGGTTAATGCTAAGTTATGTAAGATACACCTTTTTTCGCGGCAACCCTGCTTTCGCCATTTACACACTCCCATAATATTTTATTTTATATTGAAAAAAAAATAATAAAAAAATAAACAAGAGACTGTGTACAAGTCTATCTCTTACACAATTAAAGTGGTCACAGAACGGCAACGTCACAATTGATCCACCCTCCGTTTCACGAAGGCACAATCTGGGAGGACACGAGCGGCTTTAATAGAAATTCATAAAATATTTATGAAACATTCCCCTGGACGACTCCTTGCGTTTTTTTTTTCAATCATTGACTGATGTACGAGTCAATGCGAAGCTACTTACAATATTGTGCCTGATTGGCTACCCAAATTTAACACCTAACAGTCAGACCAATCAGAGAGCAGCTTATTTGATGACAGTTTTTTCGGCGTATCAAATTCGATTCCACTTCGACTCAACATGGCAGGTGTATGCGGTACACACATGCTAAGGCTTTCTGACACATCACATGGCACTATTTAAAAAGCTTGGAATTTTTGATATACAGATACTATATAAAATGGAAAAAAAATGACGAGTCTTGATATTCGATTGAATACTAGTATACTTAATCAATTTCTCTCAGAATAACTGAAGCTCTGAAAATGTATCTACCAAATTGGTAGTTGCATTTAAACTAGTTATTACAAAGAATTTACTACAAAATTGACAAGTAATGCTTAAATAACATTAGCTCAATCAGAGCTTTTATTATTGGCGATCCGCTCCGTTAGGATTGCCCTTATAATCACTTTTGTCGTTTTGTGTGTGTGTGTGTGTCTGTGTGTGTGTGTACATTTCCAGTGTTCACTATTATTTCTTCTGTGTTTTTTTTGGCTTGGCCGATTTCGTTCACACCTTAACCCTAGTTATAAGGAAA